AAGAAATTCTTACATTTGTATCCTTTTTTACTAGAGAGGGGGTTATTCTGGATTTTTTTTTCAAATATTGTGAATTTGTAAAATTGCAACATATACCAAACTTAAAGGTTGCTAGGTGAAATCACTGCATGTATCTTATGGCAAAAACGCACGATATTATTCATAAAATCATAAACCTTTTGAAGACCTGGAATGCAAAAATAGAAATAACTGATTTTCATAGAAGCTGAATTTTTCACCAGACACCAGTAAACGCAATTTGTTTTGGCAAAAGTAGTCCGCCATTAGTGTAGAACACGAGCGGTCCTTCTTTTTTAAGGCGAAAGGCCGTCGTGCGAGTTTAAAACAATCAACGGAAAAATTAATATTCGCACGCCGCGCGGAATTATCGTGCGCCTCACTTCCAGAGTTCTACGTGCTGCGCGAACATCATTTTTCTCTTCGCTGATTTTTGTTACTTGTGCGACGCACTTCGCCATAAAGGAACGACTGCTTGCAGTCTGCCATTTGCGTTAGAGGAATTTTGTATAAATTACATGGAGTAGATAAAATTACTGGGTTTACAATTTGTTTTTAAGGTCAATTCTGAAAATGATATGTTGTCTTTGATGCTTTATCATTTATTTTTGGTGTTCGCATGCGATTCTTAACTTTAAAAATTTGACAGAAAAATAAGCTGGGAAAGATAATAATACTGTACGATGAAGATGAAAGATTAGCTCCCGCAGCAGCAACGACTTTTGTACAGAGAGAGGTTGACAACGTTTTCATGTTGTCAGGAGGTGAGCAATGTCAGAAAAGCTTCGGCTTTCAATGTTACGGGTTTCAGATAACGAACCGACACTTTCCGAAAATTTCCGAAGATTTTCCGACGACATACGGAAGTTGCTGACAAGTCGATAAGAATTTGCGCAAGTTGAAACATAATTTTCAGAAATTTATCACGATTAAGAAATTTTGCCATAACATACCATAGCATGATTTAAGTATTAATGAGCTCCAAGACCACTAAAGTGAACGGCAGTGATTCATTTTGCAGGTCTCAAAGTGTTGTATAAGAAGTTTCCTGAAGGCTTAGTCGCTGGTCAAGTACCACAGTCCTGCTGGCCCACCCCTCCACCTTCACGAAAGTCATCCGGGAAAGCGACTAGCGCGACTAGACCCAGTCCATGCGCTTCTGCTGACCAGAAATGGTTTTATCCGGAGGGTATCTTTTGCAATGAAAATAAGACTTAACCAAGAATTCTCTTTATAATAATATTCGATAAAAATACTACGATGATTTCGCTCATTATTTTTACTGATTATAGAGGCAAATCTTCCGAAGAAAAAATTCTAAAATTAAGTTGTAGACTGAGAAAACGTTAAGTTGCTTGAAAGCGCGTGAAAAAGACTCTTTACCTTTTGATTTCGAGTAGCGATTTACATTTAAATTCTCCTTACAGTAATAATACATTTTGCTGCAAAAAGGTGAAGAGAAATGACACAGTTGTCATTTAAATGTTGCCTTCTTGATTTTACGCCTAATTTACTGGTTATGACAAATTTACTTAACAAATAGATTCAATGTTGCCATACTCCTGTTGAGTAAATAGATTATAGATAACATGAAAACGTGGTAAGAACAAAAAAGTGGTACACGAGGCGCAGCTGAGTGTGTCACTTACGTCTTTACCCTGTTTTGACGTCTTCTTTAATTTTTTATTGTACAGACCCACGTCAAATTGGAATCTATTTGTTTTATATGATTAAAAAAAGCAAATACTGGTAATGATGACGTCATCTATGATCTGTCCTCCAATAAATCATAATTAAGAACCAATCAAACTGTGTGTATGATTAAGCTTATCATAAAAAATAAGGTAGATCTGCAATTCTCGTCAATCTTGTTGATGAGTTCAAATTCCTGTTTGGTATATACGTTAGATTTCTCCTTGACATGAAGGCAGATCTGGTGAAACTCCAAGATAAACTGGATGATGAACTTTTGAGTCAAGACAAGAGCAGTAAGTTGTAGTGAAATAAGATCATGTATAGAACTCCATGGATAATTAACGTTAGAAGGAGCTTGTTAATGTAATTAGTAAAATGAGAGAAGAAATACAGGTTGATAGATAATTGATTGATAGATATATTGGTTAATAATTGATTCATTGACTTTATCACGTGACCCGTCCGTCCGCGCGCTCTATTACTGGAAAACATTAGACAAAAATTCCCTTGTGAGGGCTGTTAGCGATGGTGTGAGCTGAACCGGAAAAAGCCGCACGGCCGCGAGCCTAGCTGGGGGTAAGAAAAGAACATAGTATGAAAAAATAGAACGATGGTCATGAAAACAATACATATTGACACCCTGAAGTCGGGCTGGACGGGAAAATATTTAGCTTTCGGTCATGAAGCACGGACAGAGTGCAGCGAGAAATACTGAGCGCTCTTTCGTTAAGATGACGCCTGTTCTACAGGTTAATTAATTAATTGCTGCTTTCATGAATGAAAGTGAATGAATGAATAGTTGAATAAAAGAAGGAATGAAGAAAGAGAGAAAAACAAGATTGAGACAACACGATTGCTATTTGACAGATGTACTCTCGCTTTATTACTTCACAGGCCGTCAAAATTCTCGTTTGTCCAGTCGATCAGCAGCGTCATCGGCAAGCAGAGCGTCAACTGCCGCCAGCTCTGCCACCAGTCGCAGCTCGAAACCTGTCTGGAAATAATCCAGTAGATTTCAAGACATTTCTCTTTTCAGGACCGCTCATCCAAGGAAGCGCGTGAAGGCTTGGAAGAAGCCTCAATTTGCGAAGGGCCATGTTAACCAGCCTCCATAGAAGGCCACGTGGTAAAAAAGTTTGCAGAGGTATTGCGTGGTTTTGACGATGAAATGGATATTTTGGACAAAGATCAATGGACGAAGAGAGCCGTTAAAGAATTCTCTAGACTGCAGCATACGTTGGGAAGAAGCTTTACTTGCTTTAGTTTGTCACTCATTTCACAATCGGGCACTGGTGCTCAATATACTCAATATGTCCTTAACTTTATGTTCTCTCCAACCATTTTAATAATAGATATTCTGTTATGAATGGGAAAGTTTTCCCATGTTTCATGGCTATAATAACTAGATACCGGACGAATTCGGGAAAACAGGGGAACGTCGGTTGCAGGCGTCTGAGACGTACCACGGTGTGATCGCAAAACAAACAAACAAACAAACAAACGAACAAAATCGCTAGCAAAACGAAACTATCTTGGCTTGGCGTGGTCTACTTCGTCTTCTCTCGGTTCGTTCTACCCGTGAGCTTGGAAACCTGGGTCGAATTCATGTAGTCGAGGCTATTAGTGGAGTACTTGTGATAAACATTTTGAAACATCAAATATCCTCTTTTAGACTATTAATTTTCAAATAGTCCTAAAAGAAAAAAACATTTCCGCAGGAAAAAAAATTGGAAAGCTAATGAAATAAGAAAGTTAAACCCCTAAAGTGACTTTGGAAGGTTTTTAAGTTGTTTTTCAAGAGAGGTCTGCAGATAAGCCTCGAATTCACGTGCTCGACCCAGTTTTCCTGTTTTGTATCCTAAGCATTGGTTATTGTTGTGAACTCCACCTTGTCGCTCCTTCTAACGGGAGTCAAAGTAAACTGCATTATATTTTTTGTCCTGGACGATAATCTTTTTTCATATTTGACGCAATGAGAACGATTGGATTAAAAAAGATATCCCTCGTGCCCATTCATAATTTTAAGTGTTTATTGGCTCAGTGAAGAGTATGAGTCATAAGATTTTGAGTGGAATGGTAGTCGCTGATTACCGCTGAATGAGTCTCTTCACACGACATGTACTTGGAATAGCACTCTGTAAATAAAATGAGAGACTTGAGTTAAAAACATATCGTGTACTGTCAGATACTATCTTCTGTTTTAGTCTTTGTTAACAGTTTTTCTGTTTAGACCCGTTTTTGTGGCTGCTGCCTCTTTTTTGATAGGAAGCGAAGCCGCCATGAAACGGGCACGAGTGAGTGAGAGGGTGACGGTCAGTAACAATATAATTCCGATTTTGATTTAATTTCGATCTGATGTTTCTCAGTGCTTCTGTTGTTGTCGTATTTTTTTTCGGGGGGGAGGGGGTGGGGGAGTATCCCATTAGTTCGATACTCGATACACATTTGAGTTCTCTCCTTTCAAGATACCTGAAGTACCTTTAGGCCGATTTTGATTTTAGACAATAATGTTCGATATGTTATTTTGAACATTAGAATATGATTTTAAGATTTTTGACACTTGTGTCCGATTCTTGATTTTAGATTTTAGACGCTAATTGCCGATTTAGGATTTTGGACACTAGTGGCCGACTCTACAGAATTTGGTTGTTCCCTCTATTTCTTTTCATGATTTTCGCTCGGAAAAAACAACATTGTGCAATGTTTTGAAAAACCAATGGCGTGGATTACTTTTAGAGTATGACAGATTCATGGGCAAAGTTTGAAAGAAATACTGTTCTCTAAGCATTTTTTAGGGTACTGTTCGCAAGAAGTCTTATGATAAATTACTAGTCACATGAACCTACTACGTATCTATTTTTCTATATTTAACCGAGCCTTGTCCAGCGGTTTGTCGAAACTCAGTATGCGTTGTGGCGTAACGTAAACAAGCGCTCCACGTTGGTAGTTGGGGATCGCGAAAGCGGAAAATGTTTCCGGGTTGAATATCTCTTTGTTTTATTTGCCGTAATTGGTTTCTTTTTGAACGATAAGGCACTTATGAGTTTTGATGAGGAGGTTTCGAGCAGCGAGCTGTCTGAACTAGTGCATTATTTTTCAAAATATCCTTACAGAGCGCGGGATGCCAACTCGAAGGTGATAATTTCCAAACACTTTTATGAGAATTCAGGATTAAATATCGTTACAAACTTGTATCCTCAAGTAGATTTTATCTATGATTTATCACGACTACGAAGACTATTACTCAGTCATTTTTTTTTTCGTTTTTATTTTATCAGATAGAGGGCATCCAGAAGAAATGCTTACAGCTCTTTTCTAAAGATTACAAATTTACGGTTAGTCAATTGAATTCGTCATTCGTCAATTAGTTTCGAGAAATCGCATGGGTTTTTGTTTCCTGTGCGTAACTAGGGTGATGTTCACCAAAGTTTCATGTGTTTGCATATTGCTAAAACGTGTTTTTTTTTTTTTACATTTAGACAATCACCAACAGCAATGGAGACTTGTGCAACCATTACCCGCTCAAACTGGTTATTTTAGAGTCAAAGCTTCATTGTGGAGAGTCAGACAAGAACGAAAGGTAACTCTCTATCTGTACTTGAGGAAATCTGATATTTGTTATATTGTTATATAGTTAAATTACTAGGTTGCTCAGTAAATTTTGTGTCCACTGACTTCACCGTCGTCCTGAAAATTTTAAACCTTTGGAGAAATTTCCTTCCTAGCTCGAGTGTCAAAGGGAAATATCGGGTAAGACTTCCGCACAGCCTCATGGTAAAAAAAAGCTGTGGTCCCCAAGGCAATCTATTGTTTTTTTACCATTGTTTTTTTTGGTATGCATGATGAAGTATGAGGCTAATAATGGAAATCTCATCAAAAATTTAAATATATTGCCCCATCAATTTAGTGTCAGTTACTGTCCAGTGATTGGTGTGATTATTATTAAGCAAATAGCTATTTGTAACCACAATAAATGTTGTAATTTTTTTTGTAACACTCAGTGACTCATTTAGAAATATTAGAGATAGGAAACCTGTTTTGGGCATTTTTTCGTGTGACAACACAGCAACTGACATGTCAAAGCACATTTCCAGTTTTAAGACAAAAATTGGATTGCATTTGTTAAGAATGCCACTCATAGGTCACCTCAGTAATGCTCAGACAGTTTTAATTTTACATGATCTTTACTTGTTGGATTCATTTTGAATTTAACTAGTATGTTTTGAATATATCCCACAAAATTTTTAAGTTGACCCTTTAACTCTCAGAAGTGATCAACATGAAACTTCTCCCTATAATATCCTTACATTATCCAGCAAACAGGTAATGAGAATATTGAAACTTATCAGGTAGATGTTGTTATCTTGATCTTTCACCAAATTCTCATTACTAATTTACAAGGATATGTGTAACAGCCAGAGGAGAGAATATATAATCAGATCTTGGGAGTTAAAGGGTTAACTTTGTCAGTAAGTAAGAGCATCCTACCAAGCAAAACTAAAATTAGAGACACACCCCTAATTTGGACTTGAAGTGAAGCATGTAAAAGGGAAAGTGTGCCTAAAAGCTTATTTAAAGGAAATTTATATTTTAAAAAGAAGTGGAATTTAGCATAATTTCAAACTGGATTCATAATTAATGTGATAACCTTTTGATAAATGGAGGTGGTAATTTAATATAATCAAATTAATGTTAAGACAAGAGAAGATTTAGTATGGTTGGGACAAATGGTTTTGGTTTGCGATTATTTTTCACTCCTCAGTCAAAAAGCAAATGATGCAAGGGAACTTCGAGATCTGTTTGTGAAGGCTAGATTTGCCAGATGTAGATCAAGATTTGTTGTTCCAGTTATTCTCTTTGAGGGAAAGGTAAAGTTTGTCAAACAAAACAAATCTTTTGAACAGTTTTCCTAATTATGAATGGTTATCATGGCAAATGAGAATTTCCTTTCTTCATGAGTGTTTTAGTTTTAGTTTTGTCATTTTTCTTAGGGATCAGATTTCCTTGTTATAAACAATAATCTTATTTTATAACAGACAAGACCTTTTATTTGTCCTAGAGAAGTTAAATCTGATTCAGAAACTAGAACTCTATTCTGTAACTTATTAAAAATACATGCATAATGAACAAAAAAGAATCAGGGAGATAGACTTCCAACGAAGGCTTGTCTGAAAAAGTTTGATTATTAATTCTTGCAAAGTGAAACTAAAGGTTTTTTAATTTTGCTTTCTAGAATATTTGCAGATCAGCTACATTATCAGGAGGACCTGAAATTTATGGTCGATCTGGATATGATTTCCTTTTTGCTGGTAAGAATGTATTCGGAAATAAATATTGTGACTGAAGACCTTGTAGTATCTTTCCCATAAATGGAACTCTAACATGTAGAGATCTCTGATTTTTTGGGATGAAATCAAGAATGTTTCTATTTTTCTGACTTGTCTTGGATTTCTGAGATTATCAGCAATCATTCATGAGATATAATGGAAACTTCAATTTTCACTGACATGGACATCAGTGATAAGGTTAGGTTGATAACAGTTCTCTAATTGCTAAGCTCCAATACCAATATTACGATAAAAAGTGACGTGTGAAAGAATCTGAGACAGTCATCTTGTGTATTGAAAAATCTAGGATGGTTAGGAAGCAGTGAAACTGCTGAAAGGCCCCTTCTGAATTGTGTTCTCATTTATTAATCAATGGTATATAAAATAATTGTAGAGAAAGATGTTTTCCATCTTGTCACAAGCATGGGATGAAGAAAAAATTCCTCATGAGGAGCTCCTAAAAAATTCCCCATGAATAACTTCATAACAATTCCCCATCAGGAACTCCTTTAAAATTCTCCGTGAAGAACTTCTTGTGGGGACTCAGAATTTTTTCTTTCCCTCATGCTCGTGACAAGACGAAGAATATCTTTCTCTCTTTCCTCTACTGAGCTTAGACCTTACTATTTTTTTTATTCTAAATAATTGTAGGTGGTGAAAGTATCCCTGATAATCCACTAGAAGAAGTTAGTGGAGTGAATGGAACAGGGTCTCTTTATTCAAGGTGAATAATATTGATATTTTTTAAATATTGATATTTATTAAGGACTATATTAATTAAAGGCAAGGCATTTCTTTTCTGCCTTTCTTTAAATCTGTTTATATAATTAAATGATTCTGTGGACATTGCTGGACCTAGCAGTATGCAAAGCTTTTCATGTAAGAACCTGATAATGGCTGAGCTCTTTGTTGAGATCTTTGTAACTCAGTGGCCCAAAATTGAATGTCTTGTGTTCCATTCCTTTAGTTCTCATGAGGAGTCAAAACACATCTTTCTTTATGCCATTTTCAGTTGTCAAAACCTGTGGCAAAAAATAGCTCAAAATAAATGATTTTTCAAAGCAGCCGCTTTTCTTACAAGAATTCTTAGTGTGCAGTATAGATACTTAATTTGCAAAATATTCATTTGACATAGTTTGATGCTACTTTGGTTTGCAGATTTAATGAATGTAACCGAAGAAGTTACAATTCATAGACCCAACGTTTCGACACTCCTGTCTAGTGCCTTCATCAGGGAATGACCCCATCATTGACCCCTGATGAAGGCAGTAGACAGGAGTGTCGAAACATTGGGTCTATGAATTGTAACTTCTCCGGTTACATTCATTAAATCTGCAAACCAGAGTAGCATCAAACTATGTCTGATTGTCCACCTGGTTGCCATGTGAACTTTAATATATTAAATTCATTTGATTTTTTTAAATTTTAAGGGAAAGTAATTACATGTTGGAATCAGTAACTGATGATAATGTTGAGAGGGTCTAACTCAAAGAAAATTTGCTCTCTTTAATTTGTTCACTAGTGCCAGTGGTGAATATGACTTATTTGACCGCATCAGAGGTCAGGATATTCGCTTGCTCAAAACTCTCAAAGTAAAATACATCTGTGACTTGATGGTGGAGAAAAAGAAAGTCAAGTTTGGAATGAGGTGAGATATTTTTGTGACAATGTCAGTTCATTGTGAAGATCACGAGTAAATTATGTATTAATCATTAAACAAATATTTGACGAATATGTGTTGAACATTTTTAGGGTGTCATCTTCAGAGAAGGTGGACAAAATCCAGCGATACTCGGACTTCTGTTTGTGTTCTGTTCCTTATCCAGGTAAATGCTATAAAGACATCGTTTGATTCCATTGTAACTCTTTTCCAAATACAAGTGAAATTTGTAAAATTTGAAGAAAGGTTTAATTCAAACTAAAACTTAGAAAAACAACACAATTTTTTTTCATTATTTTGGTAGTGAGTTAGGTTAGCTCTAATGAGAATTCATGAGATGTTATTTGTACTGCAATATGTTATTTTTTTCTCTTTCCAAAGGCTGTGAATTTTTTCGAGACTTCAAGGAGAATGAGTACAATGCAGATGGTTTACATTTCAATTGGCAACAGGTAATATATCAAGGACTTTTGTGTGGTTTCTTACTTGTTATTTGAAAATAAGTAATATTTGAGAGTTGTTTGTTAGCTTCCTGTAAGTTTTATTGTTGTCGTTTCTTTAAGAATCTTTAGCTTAATAGTCTTCTCACCTTTTGTAGGATTATGTTGACACAAAATTAAGTGTTCCTGATTTGCTACTGCATCCTCAGGGAATCGAATGGCACAACTATCAGGTTTGATGTAAAAAATGTTGGTTAAAAAATAGAGTGATCACTTTAAATCAAGGATGAATTAGACATTTTTTTTTATAATGTTAGTCGGCTGACTCATTATAAAACAAGGCCATTGATTTCTTAACTGCTCTAACAGAAGGCTAGTACTTGGAACCTCAGCTTCTCAAAATATGCTATCAATGGCAGTTTACCAACCATAAGCATGACCAATGAAATAACTCAACACAATGTTTCCACTGTTCACGATATTCATATACAGATTTTTTTATGTTACAGTATATTGTTTGTCATCTAGAAGAATTAACACAAGTCATATGATGGGAGAAATTTTTGATAATCAACTGATACATAACTGTTTAGTGAAAAATTTGATCTAAGATTATTTGATATTTTGCAGTGATAACATGTTGGCCCAGTCTTATTTTGGTTCTTTTTCTTTTTCACAGTTATGGGATCTCGTAACACTGACTCAAAACTATCTTAATCTTTTGATAAGCTGTGTTAAAGATGGTAAGCTCACTACACCAGCTGTTCTACAGGACATGTTTAATTTTACAAGTGCAATCAGATTAACTGACTTTTGTTTTATTTAGGTGAAGGAGGATTGTTGATACACTGTATTTCAGGATGGGACAGAACTCCGTTATTTATTTCACTCCTAAGGATGTCTTTATGGGCGGTGAGATCATCATCTATTGGTTGACTGGCTTAGTAACCCACACTGAATGTTTGGAGAATATTTGAATAGAGAAAGGTGTTTTTCGTCTTGTCACGAGCGTGGGACAAAGAAAAAGTCCCTATGAGTTCTTTTACAAAGTTCATATGACTAGCGTCTGAGGATCGATTCCTCATGGGAACTCAGAATTTTTTCCTTGTCCCACGTCCGTGACAAGACGTAAAAACATCTTTCTCTATTTCTTTACCTAGCTCAACACTAACCATCTCTCTTATTATATTCACAAATATGGAGCTATCGACATTGCTGATCCTAGCAGTATACAGGACGCTTGTCATAATGTCGTAATGGATTTCATAAGGACCGTAGAGTCTCTCACCGTAGTCTCCGTGGCTCAGTAGTAGAGCAACGAAGCGTGGAATCTGAAGGTCTGAGATTCGATTCCTCATGGGAACTCAGAATTTTTCCTTTGTCCCACGCTCGTGACAAGACGCAAAAATATCTTTCTCTATTTCTTTACCGAGCTCAAAACTTGCCATCTCTCTTATTCCAATATTTGAGTATTTGGTATTAAAACGAGAAGAGTTTGTATATCACGAGGCAAGAGCAAGCGATTGACCCATATGTAGAGGGTTCAATTATCATTTGAAATGGGTTATTAGGCCAGTAAGCGGACATAATTGTGTTCTGTTGCTATTCAATGATAACATTTGAGCTTACGATTTCTACAGTGACAACTTTTTTTATTTGATGACAGAACTTCAAATTTACAATCTTCTTTATTCAAAAGTTTTCATACTCTAACTGCTCTCATTGTTTATGCGTATAGGATGGAAGAATTCATCAGTCGCTGAGTCCTGCAGAGCTACTTTTTCTTACAATAGCTTATGACTGGTTCTTATTTGGGTAAGAGTTACTTAACCCTTTAACCTCTGGATCAAATTTGTAATTCTCCTTACGGTCAACAATACAATTTATATAATGTTAGTTCAGAGAATTTAGTAGAAGATCAACTAATTATCCCCAAATTGATGGTTTTCTTTATTCTCATCACTTAGCTGGTTGATATTGTATTGGTATTGCGAGGAGAAATTCTGTCTTGGTCTCTCGTGGGAGTTTAAGGGTTAAGGAAGAAATCACGGAAGAGAAGTTGCGGGGTTGTCTTAACTAACACTCCCATCTCCTACTACGGCAAGCTCATCAGATCTTCTGAAGATAATACGCGTCTTGAAATCATGGGTTATTCGTGTGATTCTCCTTTGATAGAAATGTATAGTTACTACTTTTTTGTCTCTTACTGAAGGCATGGTCTTCCTGAGAGACTTCAGCGTGGAGAAGAGGTTAGAATCTCAGTTTTTAACCCTTTACACCCCAACATCAGTATGCATATTCTCCATACTGTTCACTATACATTTTTTAAGGTACTGATAAGGAGAATTTGTATGAAAATCAAGAGCTTCTTTATTTGGTGATCATTTCCCGTATTCTCGTGAACTTAATGTGTGATTCAGGGGTGATATTGTAAGGAGAAATTAGATGCTGGTCACTCCTAAGGGTCAAAGGGTTAACTGAAACTTAGGCATACACGGAGGACCCTCTCAAATTTGCCTCGCTTCCAGCCCAGCGTGTGGCTTTGTGGCTCAGCTGGAAGCAGCACTCAACTAGTATCTGAGAGGTAATTTAGTATTATCAACTGAGTTGATAAGGTAAATTGGCCGCCGTTAAGAGTTTAAAAGCTGTTGTTTCGAGCGTTAGCCCTTCGTCAATCGCTCTGACGAAGGGCTAAAACTTTTAAACTCTTTGCAGTGGCCAATTTACGTTATCAACTCAGTTGATAACACTAAATTACCCTGTTATACCCTCCCACCGACGCAGCACCACAGTTTCTTTAGAAACTTACCCCCTTTATTCATAGTATCTGAAAGCAGGAGTTCGCATTCAATCGATGCCTGGATTTTTTCTCTAAGATCTCAGCTCTCTCACGAAGATCATTGCTCAACTTGGTAATAGTGAACAATTCCCATTTTCGGCTGCCGGTAACCCGTCGGTCAACTGTCGGCCGACAGGTTACCGACACATTACCGACTGCTGACCGACTGTCGGCCGACAATATCTTTCGGGAACTGTTCTTCATTTTTACCTTTAACTTGATCAGGAATAATATATCACCCGGCATGAGATGTCCCTGATTACGGAAATCATGTTTTTTTCACTGATTACGGAAATCATGTTTTTCTTTTAGGTTTTCTTCTTTTGTTTCAATTTCTTGAAAAACATAGCGTCAGATGACTTTTCTGTAAATTCATCTTTAACCCGGAGGTAAATGTGTGTTTGTTTGTTTCTTTTTGATGAGACATCATAAGATTAAAATGACAAAGCATACTTACTAGCAGTCGTTCGGATTCATTCAGCTCAAAAAAAACTTCCAAGGCACAATGTGTCTACGAACAAAGTGTTACACCATGTGTTACGCGAATTAGGCAGTGTTGGATGTTGATAATTTACTTATTTCTTCTATGGAGCATTATTTTGCGTGCAAATTCTTCGCAAAATGGAGCACAAATTTGGAAACTTAGGCAGGCATGAAAACTCCTAAAACAGAGTCGAGTACACCTTCCTTCCACCTTTTATCCAATACATTTTCGGACGAAGACAAAGACCTCTTGCTAATCTAATCTAATGGTCTAACAAAGTTGTATGCTTTATTATCAGAGCTGGTGATAAGCGAAGTGACTCTATAGGTCAGTTTGATGTTGGTACAGTGTTATTAGGTAGGTTTAGCGTCCTTGACTGTCACTGCTGTGAAAGTGTTTCATAAAGTGCTTTTTAATTTGCACCTGCTTTTCAGAAAGAAACGGAAAGTGATGGCTTGTTGATGTGGTCATGGATAGAGTCTTGTCTCTTGCAAGTAAATTGAGCTTGGGAAGTTACGGTGGCGAGACACAACAGCTTTATAGTGTAACATGTGACATCCTATTTCTTCTGAATTGACATTTTCACCATCAATTTTCCGTTGACAGATGATACTCAGTTTATCGATTTCCACGCGGGAGTTACTGAAGTCTGAATATTTCCATTGGCATGATATAACAGATATAATGTGTGACGCTGAGCAAATTCTTTTTTCCTACACAGATGATCGACTGTCACGCGGGAGTAACTCAAGTTTGAGTAGCTGTAGTAGCATGACGTCAGAACAAAGAACAAGTTTTTTCATAGGTCAGGAGATAGCAGAAGACTCAGAATTAGCTTCTTCCTCATTTACCATGTAAGTTGATTAGTTCTCTATGATATTCGTTCCTTTGGTTCCACTTTGTTGTGTAATGAGAGTATTATTCTGCTTCAAATGCTGATTTGATAATAGGAATCTGTTCTTTTTCCTCCTCAGTTGTAACGGCGCACGCGCAGCGTATCACTCTCCACCTCGTTCTCACGCAGATCATGAATTTCGTCACCAGTCCACCAGTCCTCTTCCGGTTCCACGTCGGTCAAGAAAGAACTCAACTCCATCTGATCAAGTATGGACAGGCGCTCTGATTATTGAACAATTTGCGAAATTTTTGTTCTAAGTTTTCTTTTTAGGATCTTACTGCTTATTCTATATTCCTACCCCTACATACCCTTGCCAGATTCAAGTGAGAATTTTTATGTTGTATTACGACGACATCCTGTCTAGAGGAAGTTTTCACTTGCTGGACTTGACCACAGTATTACAGTTTAATCTATTATTCAATTGTCCTTTTTTCCCGTGTCTTCTTTTTCAGAAACCGTCCTCTACATGTGGAAGGTAATTTAAACTCATTTAACTTTCTATCTTTCTCTCGAGTTTAAAAACTGTAATAAATTTCCTCACCCATCCCAAATAAATTATGACTTTTTTTTCAAGTTGGCAGTTGATATCAGGAACAGGGAGTCCGAACGGAACTACCACTGTACGAGATTCTCCAATATCCGCACTTGGACATGGCAGCAGCTCAACAAGCTTGTGAGTTTTGTGTGCATGTTTGTAGCCGCCCGAGCAACGGTTTTTTAGTTACAAGGTCATATTGTATTTGTCAAACCACTGTCAATAAGCCAGTGAACCAATCAGAACACAAAGAAATCATGCAGCTGGTGCTAAGGGTGGGAAGATGTGCAAACAGTCGTAATGGCGGAAAGTGTATAGCCGGTATAAACGATTGCGGGAAAAATGGTGTAACTTGGGACAAGAGCGGGAAAGCGTTTAGCAGTTTTTGGGCTCAGGCGGAATAATTTAAGCAGTGCAATGGCAACCGCTGCCATGGTGATAAAAAACGCGGGAAAACACACCTAATCCTAGGTGGTTGGGTTTGAGTTTCTTTTTCTGATTGGTCAAAAATACTCACAGAATCTATACTGTGATTGTTTGGAGTAAGGTCACGTGTTAAATGAATTCTATGTGACTCAGAAATGTTTGTCATGCTAAACAGCCAGTCAGGGTGCTATGTAGCTCCCCTTTGCTAGTATTTCGTACACAATGCGTGACCTTTCCTCATTTTGTGTCTATTTACAGAGCTGAAAGCGTGGACGAGTGCTCTGAACGACAGGTGCGCTTAGGAGCCATCCGTAGCTTGTTTCATCAACTTTATTTCAAGGCTGTCGGCTACACGACGAAGTACGAAGCTGGCAATTCCTTCTCGAGTATTCTTGATCAAGTAACCGAGAAATTACGGGAAGGATGGGGTACTGTCGTTTAGCGTAGTCAATTCGAATTCAATTCACGATTCTTAAAAAGAAAATGAAAATTGTTTGAACACCCTTTAACAAAAAATTGCACCTGTTGTAGTACTCAAGCCGAGTTTGCGCACTTCATGGTCCTCTGTCACTGTCCTATGCGCCCCTATCTCTAAATGCTCCAAATACCAAATTCCAATTCGATACGGAAACAATGGACAAGATGAACCACCTAGTGGAATATCCATCGTGAAATTGCTATTTATTCATTCCCATTGAATTTCCTGACTTTCAGTTGTGCTGCGACTAAGTCCTTTCGTTGTGATGATTATCTTCAGAATAATATCCCTTTCGTCAAAGAAGAGAAAATTTGGAAATTACTTTCAATCTCGTTTTTATGGGTCAACTCTCTTCCTCCCTAGAAGGAAGGAAGAGAGAGGACCCTAGGAACGAGGTTAGTTTATTTTTAGTTCATCGGTAATAATGCAATGTTCGCGTCGTATTTTAAATTACTTCTACGGTAAACCGAGTTTTAAAAAAATTAGCTTTCTTAAGGCGAGAGGTGTTGTCCAAATCAAGTGTAGTTTTTGTTTGCTGAACTCAGTTTCTTTTCACCTAACTTGAGAGAAAAACATTCGACGACATTCTTTAAAACGAGTGAAATCACAGAACTAAACTGAATTTTACGTAGCTTATAAATGCAGTGAAAACAAATCAATACAAACATTGCAGACCAGAATAGACCTTCCAAAATTTCGACAACGATAAACTCTCTGCAATTCTTAACTTCAAGTGAATCAGTGCTTAGTCTCATATACCAACTGACCAGCCTCTTCTGGAAGGACTGTGTAAACAATCTTCAGACAACTAGTACCGGGCGCAAAGCGCAAGGGATCTTTGGAGGAATTAACAACTATGTTTTTCCTTCTTCCTCTGCCGGCCGAGTTTTTCAGGAGAGAGGTCTGGGCAGGAATTGTTGCAAGACCACGTAAATCATCTAACATGGAAGGAAATTATAAAGACAAAATTAGTATCTAATTGTTGTTGATAACGAATATTTTGTTATTCAGAAGAAGCAGCATTACTAGTTTCCCACTGCGAACTAGAAGAGTTGATCTGTTGATGAAGAAATTAAATCTTTTTGAAAATAGCATTACTTGTAATGCTAAATTTTTAACAGTCCTCCTATACTAACAAATTGTGGTGAAATACATTGAAAATTTCCTCTTCTCTGATAATATTCGCATCCTAATATATTCATAGGCAATAATACTTGTTTGAAAGGTGAAATTCTTGATAATCTCTGAGAGTATTTTAAAGTCACTTCACACCTAATATCAAATTAAAGAGTGTTCTCAATATTTGTTTCAGAATGTGTCAAATATCGTTTGGTTGGTTGTTATTTGAATATGTTTTGAAGGTTTCTTAGAGATTTTAATTTCAATATCTCATTAGTAATT